TATGGTTTTATCCAATGGGAGTCCATCGATGACACACACATCATCCATGTTTTAATGTGGACCGACTATGCAGGAGCAAAGAATGAGCGTGGCCACAGATCGCAGAAATATTTTGTTCAATGAGAAGAAAGATTTCAAATGTTGCTGAATATTAAAATATTCTGTGCAATAGTGAGGGTCATTGCATTGTACTTGATCGCATGCAAGCTCCATCCTCGAGCTCATCACTTTTTCTCTTATCCCAAATGTGCAAAAATGCCCAGAGCATGATTGTCGATATGCATGACATGTATTCATGAGATACAATGAGACCGAGTTTTATTTTTGCTAGATTTATGTAGTTTGTTAGATTGTAAAACTTGAACCAAAAGTTCAATCTAGGTCAATTTAATAAGGGTGAATTGTATTTGGAAATTTTCCTTGTAGAGTGAGAAAGAAAGTTTTTTTTTCCTAAGCGGAAAGAGATGATTGTTCTCTCTATGATTTACTTTCACTTTCAAATTTAATTGGTGTCAGTTGGACTTGCGTGCACAACGTCAATGGTGCAACTGCAAAGATGTGGCAAAAACATGATACTCAATAGATGTTCCATTAGACACATCACAATTTGCATGTACACGAATTCAACTTGAAACAAGCTTCACATCAAAATAAATGAAATCCAATTCAACTTGAAACACGCTTCACATCAAAATAAATGAAATCCAATTCACAGTTAGTGATGGCACTTGTGTTAGATTCAAGTTAATGTCAAGATCATCCACGCAGTTGGTTGCATAAATAGAGTAGCTTAGATTCAACCAAGTTGGAACTTCCAAGCAGTCATCTTCCCACATTACAACCCGCAGCATGAAATTACAGGAATTTTGTGTAGAATTTGATTTAGGGTGACGGTTTGCAGTTGTTGAGTTTCCATCGGTTGATACAATACATGATGAATGCCATCAAGCTATTCGTGTTATGATGTTTTACTATAAAGTAATTATCTCTTTGAACTCCCAAGCTAAAATGCACTTCATTTGTAAACATGCTCTACCTACAACTTTCAAATAATTTGATGATTATAATTTTCTATGATTCTCTTTTTATTATGACTCTTTGGATAGTTGGTTTTATTGAAAAACACTTAACAAAATTCTTGAAGTATATTACTTTGATAAACATAACCTACACATTGATGGAGAGTTGAGTTTTAGTTAATTACATAGTTTGAAGATGACGAATCTATTATAAGAATATGAAAGCTTATAACTATCAACTGATTTAGTTTGAACATTTTGTTTAAGATCGAATTATAGTCTAATCGAAGTCATCCAATCTAAGAGGTCTAACTGTGTGAACAAAATTTTGATTTGAGCTCTACTAATCTGCTTTGCAATTTTTTAGTTATTCACTCAGAAATCAGGAGGGAATAGACGGCTATTTTACCTTTAGGTGAGTAACAGTAGGTTTTTTTCTGATCGATGACTATTGTAGGAAAAAGGATAAATGAAAAGTAGAAGTGCTTGAGGATGTCAGGAGATGGAAATCTATGATTAAAAGTGAGAAAGCTCCGAGGAGTAAAAAGTTCAGAATGAACAAGGCACCACATTGCAGAAATATTGCTTCCAGCAAAATATTAGAAATAAATTTAAGATGTACCTGATTTAGACATCACCAATTCTTAACTTAGCCTCTCTATCAAGCTATAGAGGACGGCGCAGCACAAAATAGTTTTCATTCGCTTGTTCCATCTGCCCTGGCTCCCCTGGTCGGATGGCGGAGTGAGTGAACTGAGTTTCCATGAAGGTGAAAGTACTTCTCCCTTGAGAACAGAGTAACAGCGTACCCACATGAGTTTGTTCATGGTGAGTTAAGAATCGAAGGTCAGTGGTGTAGAAAAACGCATGAACCATATGTTGGGAAAACAAGCCAAAATTATCTCTAAACAAACAGGTCTATCAAATATTTTGTTGCTTTAGCATTAAATAAAGCAGCTTTCTGAGTCAATCAAGTACATAGTTCGAGGAATCGAGACCGCATAGTTTATATTCATAGTTCTGGGTAGCAAAGGTACACGTCCCATTTCAAGACTGTATCGGAAGCAGAATCACTGACTCTCATTTCAAGATTGTCTCGGAAACAGAATCACTGAAGAGTCACCTTGGCACGACCGCTTGCGTACTCATAGTCATGACACCCAACTCTTGAACGGGAGGAAAGTTTGAGAGCTACGGTTTGGCCATTTCTACCAAGACTCCAATTGCTTTGAATGCATCGCAACTTTTTGTTTAAACGTTTTGATTACGTACAGAAGAAAACGGAATGAGCATTATGATTGCGTTTGTCCAGATGCGATTCTTATGGCTGGATGCATAAGTGGAGTGGTGTGCATGGAGTTGAGGTTAGCAGCCCCGGATGGTGGATACATCACATAGAGCGAAATCGCGAAGAAGTCAGGTACCACTACCGAGCAACAACAGGAAGGGCTGGATTTTGTCAAGGACTCTACGTGTGGTAACTCCTGAATTGAGATTTCTTGGAAAAAACTGCGCAGTGGAGTTGAACACGACTTTCAAATACTCTATATGTTATATCTGAAATCTGAAATTGACGCAAAACATCTGGAGAACTACCTAGAGATCCACGATACCACGATATCTTCTCTTTGGAATTTGATTGGGTCCAAGACGAAGAGAGAGAGTGGACTTGGCTTCAGAGTAAGAGGAACGAGTCCAAGGCGATGAGGTACACCAAACACAAGTGTATACCTTCTTTGTTTCAAAAGAGAAACTATCGTGTCATCGTCGTTCTCTACATTATCTCCGTAAATTTCAGATTTGAGATATAGTAGATGTTTGAAAGCAGTGTTCTACTTCACTGCGAGGTTTTGACGTATCTGGTGACACTGCTTGATGTGTGACTTCGAAAATTATCCTCCATTTCTACGACTTTTCATCAGCAAGATGAATGATATTGAGTGCAGTTTTGTACCTTTCGGCAGTAATTTCTTACTTTCTCCGATTCCGTACATTCTGCTCCAAGATCTTTCAAAGCTGTGCGGTTGCGAGATATTCTCAAAAAAATTTCGAATAGACTGTTATGTACATCCAGTTTTACAGCATGAAGCCTCTAATAAGCATCAAAGATCTTATACTTTGACCATGATAAAAGTTATTAAAGACCTTTCAAGGAGAAGTACACGAAGGAGCCATGTGTTTGTTTATACTGTTAAGGACAAAGCTTTATATATTATAGTCGAGTGGTAATGGCATATATAAGCTTGACTGAAGGATCTTTGTATAGAGAAGTATCACAAATTTAGAACATCAAACTGAAAGTTGGGTTTATCTATGGGAGTAGCCACATGCTTAATATCTAGTATTTGAAATGATACCACATTGCGATGCTATCAGCTGTTCCCGTTCTTTTCTAATTTTACTTTGTCCACAGTTCCTGTTGAATAAATACCATGACACTGAGGAAGCTGTCCGCAAGGTCACTAAGTGCACTACTTTAGCCAACCATGACCATCAAGTTTTGTCTATGAGTAGGTGCATTTAACATAGTTATACAGTACTGTATCGTAGAAGTCCATCTAGCGCAATTTACATTGTCTTCTAGATGTCCATGTAGAAGTCATAGTACGTGCACGGAGCTCTGGCCAGCCAAAGCATGAAAGAACTCCGTCAATCGGAGATACACTTTCTGAACCTTGTCATGTAACCACACAGACAGACTGGTGGGCCAAGTCCAGCACGACTGTGAGCTTGTCCAGCTGAGATTGCTCCAGTGCCTTGGTCACTAATCGGCAACCCTGACGTACATCCTCACATGGATTTGGCTGCAAATTCCCGTTGCCCTCATTCCCCGGACCCCTTATAGAGCTCCTGCTCTATCTCCACTACCTTCGGAATTTCACCTGGTTCACGGACACGATTTGATTTCCAGCTAACGACTTACCTGTAAAGACATTTGCAGTGCAGCCGAAGTCACTGAGGAGCTGTACTTCAAATCTTAACAATGTGTTTCCAATCGTGCAAGTTTGGTTAGTAAGTATATTATCATATGAAGGCGCACTTGATTGTTATGTGTCGAGAATAATATATGGATTTCGCACTTATTTGAGAGTAAATCCCGCGTGACAACTCCAGCATTTTCGCACCAGGATTTCTAAACGTGAGCCGAAATTTGTTCGGAGTCAGAGATAGGCACACAATGTTTCGGTGTGCAGAGAGAAAGTGCATCCAGAATTGGGATGTGAGCTGAGAACGACGATAAGCGTCCCAAACTGTCGGCCACACTGAGGGCTAGACTATTTAGGATGCTTGCGTTATGCAGTTTGATAGAATGCCGGCATTGTTCCGTCTATTTATGTGGAGACAGATTCAGGTCATGCATGTTTACACCGGTTCTCGTCACCGGAATTCTTAGTGGAGTTATCTACATTTCCTCTCTCTTGATGGGCTCTTCCCATCCTTCTTGCTAATTACTTGGACCCTTGAAGTAAGCCTGATTCGCAAACAACAATTGACAGCGACCTTTAACCCTCCAAGCCACATGATGTCATGATCTGGTGACTTTACACTGGCTTTAGACTTGAGGTCTTTATCCAAAGCTGTGAGGAAAATGAACTAATAAGTCCAAGAGCAAAAGAATGGACGTACTATATAAATATATCATGCTATGCAATTAAGTACTTCCTCAGCCACAAATCGGTTTCTTAGTTCAGGTCAACATATCTTTTGTTTGTCAGAGTGACCATCTGTCGGTTGACGGTTGAACGAGAATAAATTGGTATGTCGTACGAGATAAGTCAAAGCATCTCTGTACTCATTAAGCAAGAACGGCAAATTCTGACACTTCCTTCAAGAGTGGCTCTGATTGTAAAGTAGAGACGTACAAAATATGTGGGGCTCCATGTTCAAATCAGTACCCGTTGTTATAGTTACATAATAGAGACTATTACAAAAATTCTGCACAACACTGGACACAAATACAGCACATGGTACAGAAAATTTCAACCCCAAGGCATCACAGGAACTAGAATGTAGAACAGGTTTGAATGATTCGAAACAAGAAAAAATAAGTGTTCGCTAATGAACATGCCAAAACCCTTCGGGATGGAAGGATTAGAAGTTAAACATCTGCAAAAAAGCTTCATTTACAAGTCTGTGAGGAGCCTTCGGAAGTCACTGCACTCTTTGGCGGAAAAGGATCTTCGGTGATAACCTCGCGTCCACCATCCAAAGTACCAGTACCTCATGTGTATGCGTCATGTGCAACATCGGAGAGGCTTGACAGTCTTGTCAACAGTGGCGGGTAATTTTGTCACTGCCTCTATGGCCATGGGCAGCACTGATTCAACTGATTCAAGTTGCAACGTGTTCTACACCAGCTCGAGAAGCTTGTTGTCTGGCATAAGACAAACATAGCTCAAGGAAGAGCACAGAATCCGCGGCCCACTGCTATCGTGAGCACTCATTTTAAGCAAAGCATAGCATTTTCTGGTCTGATCCATCACTTAAAGTTGCATCTAAATTCCCTCAGTTGCTCACTGAAGCCTGTGTGAAGAAGCACCTCCAAGATCACCGAGTCTTCTCTCCAAAGCCCTATTTTCAGCAACTATTGCATCCAAATCTGCCTCCACACTTGCTGCGTCCAATGGTCGCTTCTCAAGTTCCTCTAGTTTGGCTTGCAACTCTGAGATTTCCCGACCAACTTTGTCCATTTCAAGAACTTTTTCAATGATATTCTCAAAGTTGATGTGAAGACCACTGAGCAATTTATACGCTTGTCTGCAAACTGGGTCCTTCTTCGCATCTCTGATAGCACAATGTAGACAGAACCGTATAATAAGTACAAACTTCACATGAATTCATGAAAGAAAGTCTCGGTACAAACAGAGAAAGTAAATCTGTATCCACGGCTATTCTTTACCTGAAAACGGTTTCATCAACAAGAGCATGAAGACGCCGGAGTTTATCTTGGGACATGTTGCTCTCTCTCTGCAATTCTCGTGTATCTTGAATGATGCGTGCTATGTCTGCATCTTGCTTTTTGCTGTTTCGGACGAGCTCCGTTATTCGCCTGACATAAGTGGCTCGAGAAGCTCCCTTCGCCAGTTTCTCTACCTCCCCCAAGAATTGCGTTTCCTCCGCTTCCCTGACAAACATGAAGTCTCAGTCCAAAAGACCTTACAATTTGAATGACAGTTTGTATACTTTAAAAAACCTCAGTCTTGGTATAATGTTCTGGATTTCTCAGGTGCGATGTTCACCTTGCCCACATTTTTGCCGTCATGTCTTTCACTTCCTGACGCATTTCCCTCATCTTCTGTAGCTTGCTTTGAATCTCTGAATTTCGGGCTTCATAAGTTTTATCAGCATCCGCAACTCGTTCTTCCAAACGGGATCTAACTGCGTCCCTGTCAGAGGATAAGAGCGAGTGTTAACTTTTCACTTGCAGATTCCAGGCGAGAAAATAGAACTTGGAAGACCTTAATTGATGTGATAACATACCACTCAGCTTGAAGAGCCAAAAGCCGCTCATCTCCCTCCTTCACCACAAGTTCAAGTTCTTGCAAAACGTCCTCTGGCGACCTTGACTCGTCCAGAGCCAAGTTTACAGCTGTTTCCAATAGTAAGCGCCTCTCCTCCAAGACAATTGCTTCTGCGCTGCTTGTCTCAATCTTCTTCTTCAGCTCCGAGGCCTTCTCTTCTACTGCGTCTACTTCTTCTTTTGCCTGAGAGCACGAAAGGAAGACGAAAAGGCTCTCAACTGGATTGAAAAATGACTGAGACTTGATCACTGAAATATGGGACGACTAACTAACAAAGTGGATATTCACACATGAGAACTCATACCTTTTCAGCCTGAAGAGTTAGAGCAGAGAGCTGATTTTCAAGCCTCGAGATCTCAGTCCTCTCTCTCGCCTCGGCTGCTTCTGGCAGACGCAATTCGTCGTCTAATGAGCTTGAACTATCCCGTGCGAGCTTTCCTTCCAATCTCCTATCATCAGTTGCTGCTTCTTTGCTCACTAACAACACTCCGTGAGTAATGACCTTCTTATCAGTTGTTGCGGAAGGGGTTAGAGATTTGTCGGCATGTCTTGCGAGATGGGCAAGCTGAGCATCTGCTAGCCTGGCAGACTTCTCGGCACTCCTGGAATTGAGCTCAAGAATCGAGGGGACCAAATAGGTTCTGGGTTTGGCTTGCAAGGTGATCAAGGGCGGTTGTTTCTTGACTCTTTGAGACGCAAGTCGAATGGGACAGGCCCGAAAAGGGATGCCCCATTCGATCACCTTCTCGACGCTATCAATCGGTCCACTGAAGCTCTCACCTCCAACTCTGAACCCTGGCATCTGTGCATCGTCCTTGCCATCTCCCACTGATCCTGATGAATTTGCTTCATCCCAGCAGACAGACAGAGCATGCCGCACAGTTGCACTGATCTTCGAGCCACCGAAGTCATCGACTCCAATTCGACCAGCCGCTCGCCCTTTACGAGCCCCACGTCCTCTGCCTGCAGCCGAAGATGTCTGAGAGAGCTTGTCGAGCAGGAACCGCAGCAGCCGATGCGTATCCGCTTCAGAAGGGTACAGGAACTGCATGCACTAGTAGCACCCATCGGCCGTCATCACTCTCTGCTCCGGCTCCAGGCCTGCATAATCCACACTCTCCTCTATCACACTCCTTCCCCACACCTTCTACGACATTCCGCACACACCCCACAGAGGACATTCAGCTTCCACGATGCCCCACTACTGGCCAGCTATTGAACTTCTCAGCTACACATCCTTCAGCCTCTCTTAACGTGGATTTCATCGAGAAAAATACGGTGCGTCTGCCTTTGCCAACTTCCCCTACGCTCTCACGCATTCCACCTCCAGCTTCACTCTCAAAAAGCAACAATTCCGACAGAAAAAAGAAAAAGAAAAAAAAAGGACTACGGTTTTCGATCAGACCCTCGATATCAGCAATCTACCGGGATTTCAAGCAGACTACTGGATGACATTTTTAATTCCTTAAAAGCAGAGCAAGAGCCATGGCAATCGATAAACTGATTACGCAACAATGAAACATAAGAAATCCATCCGTGTGACTCGAACCCCGAACTGTGACTTCCATGTGCGCACATGAAAATCAAAATCAAACGTGATGAGCTTCTCAGCTGGCGAAAGATGCTACTCGAAGGAAGTGATTGAGGAGCCCGGACATCCTGTACCCCTAAATTGATCAGCACATGGAAGGCACAAAGAGAGTTAGAGACTGGCCTGATGGAAGCTGAGCTCTCCACGATAGCCCAGCTGCTGGAACGCGGCAACTAAGTCCGCACAAACTCGAAATCGCTCGGCTCGCTGCTGGGGGAATTCGGCGGGCAGTTCTGGCAGAGGCGATCCTCGCAGCAGGGACAATGCATGGCCATAAATTGGCATGAGCTGCTTGGGGCGCAGGTCTCCGACGCTGTGAACATCGTCCGGAAGCTCCACCCCTGCTCGTTGCAAGGCCAGCAAAACGATGCCTTGTGCATCATCCATCGCAGGCTGCCCCAATTCTCACTCCTCCTCCTCTTCAATGCCTTTCAACTAACCCTAGTCCCATACTTTCATCCTCCGCTGCGTGACTCGTGAGAAGGTCGAATCACATCAATTTGACAAGCACCGTGCACTCAGAGCAATTTGTAGCGATCACGTCGACCGAAAAAATTCTCGCATGCGTTGCCTCGCCCTGTGCTGCTCGTCTTCAGAAGCTAGCCATCTCCGACACCCATCAGACTTCAACCTTACTACCCGAGTTCCTACTCGAATCGAATTTAGCTGAACAGCCTCCGAAGATCGCCCCGAAACCAAATCAGGTCCCTTGAAAAGCCCTCGTCCTGCCTCTCTGACGACCTCTCAGCTGCTCCGGCAGCAAATCAGCAGCTGCACGGGTCCATTCGAGAGAGTCGTTCCGTTCGGAGGACGGTGTACAATTCGAAACCGGGCTTGAGATCGGGCACGGCCTTTCTGTCGGTTTTGGGTCCTCAACCATGCCAGCTCTGACGAGCTCTCGAGCCACGACACACGAAGAAACCCAAACGCGAGCTCGAGCGTGCTTTTTAAGACACAATGAGTTCCCGCTGGGTGGCGGAGATTCATGTGGACATTTCTCTTCCGGCTGCGGCTTGAATAGGACAGTGACAGTGACAGTGACAGTGCCCAAGGTCTTCCAATAGTGCGAGGGCAAGGTCACCATTCGTCGATTTCGTGTTAGTATAGTGAGCCATGGACAGAGTACGACATCCCATGAAACAACTCTCAGACCATGCTGGGATTATCGGCGAGAGTTGAATTAGTAAAGATGATTGCACCTCTGTAGTAGTTGTACCCAAACCATAATTAGAGTTCGGATAATTGATTTCTATATTTGTGTTCAGAAATAGCGTGAGGACCGGATGCTGGGGTTTTACTACAGCACTGGTTTACCCGCGTTCTCGTGTTTCTCTGAATGGTGATGGTCTGAGTAATTGTCTAGGTGTGCCTGTTCATAGGGGGGTTTTGAAAATTCATGGCCGGGGTTCTGTCTCTTTGATCATAAGAGGGCCAATGGAAGGTCAGTGTTGTTCTGGGGGATTCCACAATTTGTTCTTCCAACAGTTTTGGGGAGGTTTTAGACCAGCTCTGAAAGTAGGACGAGCGAGGGTTTGACCGTGCAAGTTGGCACATGACATTCATTTCGACCTTTCTCCATCAGGTGGAAACGAGGTCGATAGTCGTGTACGTAGACTACAGAACACCGACACGTCTATGGTACCATTACTTTTGTTGGTCCGGGCCTCTTGCGCAACGCTTTTCCTCGCAGCTTTTGGGAAACCGTCGTTAATTGAGCCGACCCACGAGTCGTCGACAAAACTCTCTCTGATAACAAGAAGTCTTTGGTCTAACACGAGGAGTTATCTACAGAAGGACGAAAAGTGACGCTAAAATTTGTCCTCTGCCGCGACCGCACATTTCCTTTTTGTTGTTAGTCAAGTTCACATCCCAGAAAAGAACTGTTCCAAAAACATATGCTTTGCCACATTTGGAACAGTGCTTCCGAAGCATTGTCAAAGGATATAAATTCTTGAATAGGATGCAAAAACTCTCGATTGACCACAAGATCATCAAACTAGAATCGGAAAAGTATTGATAGCATAGAGGGGCAACGGTATCTCGGTCAACTCGGATATGTCAACTTCTCAGCAGCTTTTGCTTCCTTCCAAAAGTCCATCAGAAAAGAGGAAAGAATCCATGCACGTGGAGATGGAGCGGAAGAACATGTGTGTACTCTCCTTCAGCTAATAATGATACATGTGATCGACTCTTCCATAAGGCGATCAAATACATACTGTCCTCGAAAAAGACTAGTTTGACTATTCGTCTAGATGTGTAGAGAATCTCCGAAAAAGTACAAAGCACTCTACCTGCTTGAGAGAAGGAAAGCTGGGATGGGATCAAACTCCAAACACCCTCAGAGAAAGAAAGACTGTCTAATCGGTTCACCCCTAAAACTGTCTGAACCCAACTACAAGGACAAAGTTGTAATTGGCACTTGATGAGGGACATCCTCAGATTCGTAAAAATTTCCGAAGAAACCCTCAAGTTCTCTCCTCGTGCTTCCAATTGAGGTTGAAAATCTACTGTTGGTGATAATCATATCCCACGTATCTGACCGTTTCGCATGACAACAACAAACTAGTCTCTGGAATCATAACTTATCCTTCTTTCTTTCTCCGGAGTCCTTTCATGGGTGTGTCCATACAAATCAGACTTCCTCCACCTGGTAAAAGAGAAAGAAACAAACCTTCAGAACTTTCCAGCTACGGATATCTTTGGCAAAGTCACTGATGTTGGTAAGACGACGAAGAAGCTATGGTTGAGGAGCACTAATGATCTGTCCATGGCAAAACCATGTATGGACCGACGTCTTATGGTACCATTCACCAGGTTGCGGTAGAAAGTGACATGTATAACAGGCAAAGTAATGTAGAACTCAGCTGACCTGTGGAAGACTCATCAGTGCAAGGACTGCTTTCTTCGGCGTGAGTTCATTCTCCAAAATCCTAGCAACCGCTGTCAGAACAGGCATTTGAACACGGTATTTTCGTGCCAGAGCGATAACTGCTCCTGCTGTAGCCACACCTTCAGCTACCTAGATACACGGGTGACAGATGCAAGGTTTAGTGACAAAATTGTCCAGGTTATGTTTGCACTGAATTCTACTTCAGTTAACGATTCTCTATTGTGGATAAAAATGCTACCATTACTAGCATATCTCAGACATACCCGTCACGCAACGTCATCAAGTGCATCATCTCCCGTGCAAGGCCATCTAAAACCTGAAATTAAACTTACAACGTAAGAGCTCAGACAAAGATGAAGATATTTTCTCACCTGATTCATGGACGCAAGAATATCCTCGAGTTTCTCCCCTGCACCAAGTCTCACTCCGACGGATCTATTTCTAGATAGCTTTACAAAACATGTGAGCATAATGTCTCCTGTTCCTGACAAGCCTGCCAGAGTTGCAGATTTTGCTCCCATCTGCGAAATAGAAAATGGATTCAAATTAGATGTGAAAGTAGTGTAGATTTCATGGAAATCTTTCCAAGCGGAACGGCAGCGTTCAGTTGGAGAAAGTAATCCACATCCAGAAGATTTCACATGTGACGTACAACTCATAGTTGGAGTTACCTTCTCTGCAAGCCACCGAATTTCTGCACAACCTTGTGCTACAAGTGCTGCCATGCAGTTGTTACCAAGCTGCATACCCTCCACAATTCCAGCGGCAATAGCAAGCACGTTCTTCAAAGCCCCGGCCATTTCAACTCCTACGACATCACTGCACAACCATTGATTGTTAAAAAATGTGGCAAGAGTGACACACCACGCATATGAAGAAATGCATCAAACAAAAAGGGAAAACTTTACAACAGCAACATAATCGTAGAGGACAACAACAAAATATAAGGACCTTCGTATCCACCAAAGCACAAAGTTCCAAATCGCAACCAAAACGGATCTTTTATGGTTGCAATTTGAGCTCAGAATTGCTTAATAAATGCTCCCTTGCGTATCCTCGATGCGATAATGCCTTCACGATAAGCTAACAATCCTCTATCTCACCTCCTTCACAATTCCCCTCTCACCCCGCCCCACTTCAATACTCAGCTCACCGTCGGTACTAGATTTAGGTTATGATGATTGTAAACAGGACTTGGTTCTTATGAAGCAGTGTATCATGCTGTTGTAGGTTTTAAAAACTACCTGGAAGTGTTGACTCTTAGATATCGAGAAGCAAGTAGCTGTTGAGCAGCTCTTGCTAAGTCTTTATCCTTCGAGGCAGCAACCAATGCTGGTAAGAGATGTTCACAAAGCCTCTCAGATTTACTAATTGAACACATTAACCATTCCCATACCAACAAAGTCTAAAAGGAAAGCACAAATCTTTATAACTGAAGCATATAACATACTGAACAACATGCACAAATAAGTCAATCTGATTTAGAAATGAGAAAGAAAACAGGACTTTGAAGAATAGGTTGAAGGTACTAAATAGGAACTCCTGGAGATTATCAAACTGCAACGGTTCAAAGAAAAGGATTATAGGTGGACAAGAGTTATACCCGTTGGTAGCTCATCCATCAGCTCAATCGAGAATGATGGTCCAGATAGTACACATAAGGGCTGGCGTGGATTTCCAAGAGCTCGTGGGATAACTTGTGACATCATTTCCATTGTAGAGAGCTCCAAACCCTTACTCACAGAGACAATAGGTAAAGTTGGAGGTACGAACTCTGATATGCTTCTTAAAAATGATGCGCTGTTCTGCATACACAACAAGATACGTCGACTTCGAAATCAGACCATAAATAAAATGGGAACTGTTATCACCAGAATCTAGCTCCCAACTTCCTAGTCGTTAAATACTTTGAGAAAAGATGGCCAACATTCAAACTTAATACCAGGTATCTACTTTTAATATCGAGATGCATTTACCGACAGGATGTGATAGTAATTAGTACCTGCACAGGTACAGCGTGTATGCAGTACTGAGCCCCTTCTAGAGCAGCTTTAGGATCTGTGGTAGCTCTCACGTTGGACGGAAGTTGATGTCTAGGAAAGTATTTTCTACAACAGGACGGACCAGATCGAGGTGAGACAGGAACACGTGGCCAAATTTGATCAGGTTATGGGTTTACCGCAAGGCTACGTAAAGAAAATAATCCACAAGAAAGAACAAGTAAAGAGTCTTACGAATTTACGTGCTCTTCGTTGATGGAGTGACACACGGCCTCGTCTCTGAGCAAGAGCGTGACTTCCATTTCAGCCTTGTTACGTGCTAACAGGACAGCCATAGCTGTGCCAAAAGAGCCTCCTCCAAGTATTACAACCTGCAATTTTCATTTTGACTCATGAGCGCACACATAAAAACTTCTGTGGATCTCAGTGATGACTCCAACTGATCTAAACTTGAGTGAACCAATAATATCCAAAGATCAAATTGGAGCTGATAAAAGAGAGTAAATCTTGATGCCAAAGAGCTGACCAGACCATCCATGAACAGTATTGAGTACAGGTAATCCACTCTATAAGATACAATCGTCTCCTACTGATACATATGAGAAACAATCACGTCGTGTCGAGCTCTGTCCTCTTTCCGAGCGGGAATTAAGTTCAATCTTCAGTTCATATAATGGTACAGATCAAACTTAGTGAGAGAAACGCTCACATTAGAGCTCACTAATGCGACATAGTGTCTCGAGTGTGGCATAAATCTCAAATATTTGGCAATATTTTCTGATTGTAGAACATGACATGAATGAGATGTGGATTGCCTCTCGTATTAGTACGCTTCCGGTCGAAATTGTTGATTCACAGGAGCTTAAAGAAGAGGCACTTATACTTTCGGTTTTCAAATTTCGAAAAATTGCCTGCTACTTCATGCAAAAATCACCAAAGCCATCTGTAGACCTCAGTTTTACTTCTTCGTGAGGGCGAATAGCACCCCCTACACAAGGTCTGACTTGAACGATTTATCAGATCGCAGAAGAGATTCCAAACTGAATTCGAAAAATGAATCATCTTAGTCGGTCATCTGCGGTAATGAATGTCGTTCACTCGAAATGTGGTTGTCTTCGAAGACACTCCTTGGCAAGGGTAAACAAGAAAAAGGACATACCTTCTTAGTGCTTTGGAGAGCATTGGCCTGACGCCGCGCTTGCAGCAGCTGCCATGATTTGGACCAGCGTACGAGCTTCTCCCACGCTGTTCTTACAATCTGGCTCTCTTCTTTGCTCCTTTGGAACAAAATAGTGGAGGGACTAATGGACACCCCAATGCTCCCGGTCTCCACATTGTCCGAAGATTCGGCCATCGCAAGAGGTCCATTACTACTTCCAGAAGTTCCCGCTGAGTTCACAACCTCCTCATCGTCATTGACTACTCTCAAAATTTCCTCTTCTCTAGCCAATTTCTGTCCCAACAATTGAGACACTGCCACTTCCTCGGCAGAATCTCTTTTCTGCTGCGCATTTTCTTTCGCCTTCACCGCCTCGTCTGTGGCAGCCATGCACATAATTCTGCCACTCCTGGGCCTGCTCCTGCGGCTCAAGGAGCCCACATTGGCTCGACTCCATGCCTGCGAGTCCAAATTCTCTCCAGATGCACCCGAAACCAAATCCCGCACAACGGAGGCCTCACCCGCCCTCCTGAAGCTCCCGACCCTGCTCGAGCGCCTGGCCAATCCGCGCGCAGCTTCGCAATCCCAATCCTGCGCTCTCCCGGAGCTGCCCACACCGGAATTGATGCAGCAGCAAGACCCACCGGGCGATGAAAAAGAAGCGGACGACGACGACGCGGCGCAGCTCCTCCAGGCGAAAGAAAGGCGCGGAGAATGCGTGGGCGAGGCAGCGGTGGGCGATGTGACGAACGCAGCGGCGTGGGGACCTGGTGTCAGGAAGACAATGTTGGCTGTGGCCATGAGCACGGCATAGCTGCAGCTCATGCACTGCACAGCGAGCACAGGAAAGCAACGGAATGCGAGGGGCACTAAGGGAGGGGAGGCCCAAGGGAGCAGGGGAAGGGGGACGAGCGGATGCTGCTTGCTGCTGCTTGCTGCTGCTGGAGGTGGTGAGGTGGTGGCGGTGGAAGGGAGGAGGAGGAGGAGGAGGGGCGTGGGGGGGGGGGGGGGACGAGAGACCTGTACCTCTCAGCTCCCAGCTCTCTCTGTTCTGTGAGTTCGGTCTGTTGGCCTCATCCTTCCCCTTCGTCCGTCGGGCGGGCGGGCGGGCGTTTGCGTGATGCTGACGTGTATATCGCCGTGCTGACGCGGGAGTCGAAATTATCCTCCGGTGCGACGGCTGGCGCTGCTTTGAGTCCGTTGTGGTCATTCGTCGCGGACCCCGGCAAATGCGCGTGCTTGGCACCGACCTACCGTTCCCTTGCCCCCCTCCCCCCACCCTTCTCTTGCGCTTTCGATTTGACTGTTTCGAATTGGCGCTCGAGATCAATTCTTCTGGGCCTGAGTCCCAGCGATTGGGTCCAAGGTCGGCACGAATTGGACTACCTACGAATTGGGGTCGAGTGGCATGGATTCTCCGAGGGCCGTCGTGAATTTACCACATCCGCAAGAACTTTACGACAGGTTTTCGGGTTCTCTATAAGCACACATCGGGATTTTTTTGTAAAATTTCATGAGCGTGTCAGGGGCATTGAAGACTTTGTATTAATAAATCTTAGATTTTAATGTGATATAATATAAACAAATATATCTTAAATATTGCCCATGATCGATGAGCAACAATGGTATGATGTTTTTCATCGATTGTTGCTGGAGTAAATGGACGAAATGCGCATGTGGTTCACATGGAAATTCGATCATTGTTTTTTATTTTCTTTGTTGGACGACATCTGAGTGCACACTAGATCGTCTCATCGAAGCTTCCACTGACAGCCGAAGCTCTACGAAGACGCAAGGACCTTACGAAGAACGGGTAATATTCTCAATCAGGTGGACTTTTACGTGAGCTCAAATAACTGATCTTAGGTAAGGGAATAGGTCGGTGGTCGAGTGGACATCTCCACTGAAAATGCACTTGAGTCTGTTGAATGGTCAATGTTGGTACAGGCTCACCTTCAAGTTTGAAAGAGTCCGTCCCACAAGCGTGGATTTTAATACAGTCGGAGAGCTAGAGCCCGTAGTTGTTGTGAGGATGGTCCATACTTGTTTCAATTTATTGTTTTTTCTAAAAAATGGGAGAATTGGGGAGCAAAATCAAAATCCTCGAATAAAGCAAGGAAAGGTTTAATATGATATTTAGGGATGGCGGTGATGACGTCAAGTCTGAATGGCAATGCAATTCAGTGATCATTTTCCTATTATTATGTGATGTATATGCCATTTGGCATAGACAGTAAATGTTTATATACATATTTTTTATTGGGTCTAGTCCATCCAAAATAAAGTATAATATTTGAATACGTATTCCGATACTTTTGCTGTATTACTATCTAGAATACTTGATCGAGCATAGATAGGTGACCATGTCATAATACCTCATATGCACTTCGAGTCCGAAAATTCTGCTCATGTGGATTCTATTTTCTGCTTAACGTGCAGGACTCCTGCATAGGTGGAATCAAGGAATATTCTGCATTATCAGCAGCACGAGCCATGTACGAAAGAAGTTTAGAACTGAAGCCTGCATAAACTATCCTCGTGGGGAGCCACATGGTCAGAGAAGGTCGTAAGAAAATGTATTATTGAAGGGACACCTTCCTCACCTTGTGCCTGCACTTATTCATTCAATTAAAAATTTTATTTTATTTTATTACAACTTTAAGACAGTGGATGATTCTTCCGTGGAGAAACTTGTTATGAGCTCATAGCGACTTTGACGACACCGCGTATTTGAATCTTCAATTATTTCTTCTTTCATATATTAAAGTAAATTAAATTCAAGTATCAACCGTAACTGCTCACTCTGTTTGCAATAGACCCCCGATAGATGCTTACCAAGACTTATGTTTTCCAAGACGAAAATTTTACCATTGATAAATTCTATGATAGATATTACGGAGGCAGTCAGGAACCTGCACACAAAAATACCCTCCTCTTGTGATCGGATCGAAAAACAGAATAAACATGCAACTTTCGATATACGCCATAGAACTGCAGAGAAAATACACTGGAAGGGATGATGTAAATCATAGCATTGCACGTGCTTTCTATGAAAATAATGACCACCATAGAATACTATTTATCCTGAAACGACTGCTATGTAGTTCATTAAGGATAAAAAGGATTCATATACAACTCACCTGTTTCCTCTAAAAGCTATCGCTCGCATTTGTTTGCATGTCTACGTGAGTGCAGATTTTTAAGAAGCTCCTTGCTTGAAGAATAGTTGGAAATGCCGCAATTGGTTCTCAAGCAAAGTTACTATTTATGACGCTGACGGTCAAACAGGCAGAACAAGATATTTCACTTTCCCGTACGTCTCCGTTTTCATCCATCCATACGTACTCCTTTCCATTGACGAATTTTATCTTCATCTGATGATTGTACCATCAGGACTGGTGCTATGTCTCGAGCATGCATACAAGGTCTCATAGTCAACATTTCTCCTTCTTTATGGGGTCTTAACTTAAGAGGAAAGGATAAAAAAGTCACATTCCCATCGAGTGTTGGAAATTTCTACAAGTCTCAAGAGCTTCGTTCTTGGCGGAGGGATCTTGGACCGTACCATTTGAGTGGATGAACCTCAAGAAAATTCACCTGTTGAGATTCCACGTGGAATTCGTAGCAGTCAAAGTGTCAATCGTCTCATCTATTGGAGCTGATTGTCACAAGAGCATCGGTCAACTATTCACGAGAGCCTTCTCTTCCCTTATGATTCAGATAAGGTTACCCGGCGCTCTCTCAATGACCGTTGTGCAGATGAGAAGCGTTCTCTTCACAGTCACAACCAGTCCACCAAATCTTTATCGTTTTCTCGTTATAGGATAAGAGACGACTAAAATTTGTCTCTTACCATCAACAAAAGAGACAAACGGAGGCCGTGTAGGTTGCAAAAAGGGAGGGCATAGCCCATGAAACCATAAAACGATAAAACCCGTAGGCAAGGGTTAGGTCCAATTATTATCACGAGGAAAATCGCATCATACTTCGCTTAAGATTTCTGATTTTTCTTAGTTAGGCAGTCTAGCAATGGTAGCATCTTCAAGGATCATCACTGTCATAAACTCCGTTATGTGTACAGACATAACAATCGAAACATGTTCTCAGCACTTTGTTACACTATGAACTGAAGAACAATGAAAGTTTGTTGTTACACATTGCCGCAAAGTACAAAGTTTCTAGCCATATCTCTATTTAATCTAAAAACATCTAAATCTGCATAATTCTTGCGATATCAATCTCAAATATTCAACGGTGAGCTAAAAACGTTCTCCAAGGTGTCGGTTGACAATACCGAAGGCACAAGAAGGAGCGGGAAGGCAGGCCAGATAACCAGTATGTCACCCGTTTTCACATGCCTGATATTTTGATATTCTGGAGTACATTGCTCACTCAGAAATTAGGTGCAGACAGTCGTAAGTGACAGGAAGTTAGAGACTGCCTAACCCAAAATTCGAGTACATCAACTAAACGTCATCTGTAATCTAGCGCACCTTGGTTTCAAGCCAGCGATAAATGACATCTAAGATTCAGAATTCAGATTCAGAATTTGTACTAATCCAGTTGAAAACTTAACCCTGCTGTTATGAAGTATAGGCGAAGGTGATTTATAGGATGTGGTCGAAATTTTCCGGGTACTTGCATCGAGGAATTGTTGATTCGGCACCAGTATGTCTCAGGACATTAACTTATGGAGACATTGTGATTTTCCTCAGCTGTGATAGCATTTCAAAGAGGACCAAAGTCGTCTCAAGTATCGGTCAAACGTTTTGTCCACTAGAAAACACTAGTGAATGCGACCTTGCAACTAGAGGTGAGTCCTCAAAATTCCTTGTAATTGTATTTACAACTTTAGAAAAGTATGTGCCTCGATGAGCCCCAATATGCCGACGTTGGAGGAGACTGGGTTGGCTTGAACTAGGATTAGTTTGAAATTTTACCAAATTTGTTTAATTCTGCTTTGCAGATAAGTTTCTTGACTAGTTTTGACTCCAGTACAGTAGGAAAAGAGAAAAAGCTCCAAACACATTTCTGAACAAAATAACACTTGATTTTCTAAGAATAGTCGATCCTATTCGTGAGATAAGCCATCACAAGAAATTTATGACAAGAAGTTCAAATTGATATTATCGTCAAAAAAATAATCGACGGGTCCTCTATCCTTAACGCAAAGGTGTGACTATGTATGCAATACATGATGGGGAGAGCTAGAGAGCAGAATCACTGATGAAGTTTCCAAACAGGTACAAGCCTCTTTCTGGTTGTGTGTAAGGCACCATGTGTCCAGCTCCTCTGACGGTGGCAAAAGTCATGTTATCGAACTTTGTAACATATCCAGCAACCTGTAGACCCGATGATACGGTTAGACACGTGGACCAGCAAAACGTCATTCTCGTCATCAGATCAAAGAGAGAGAAAAGCCAGTGCACTGGTTGCTTCCAACAAGAACAAGAGGGCCCTACTTGTTGGTTGAGATAATATGGCCTCCAGTCTTCAACAATCTTCAGATCGAGAGTTCTGATCCAGGATCGCGATCCAGTTACGGGAACGATTGCGTCCGTGTCACCACTGCCACATGATAAAAGAAGGGATTCCCCAAAGATCCTCTTAGCAAAGGACCTCATAACCTTTAGAAGACTCAAATTACTTAAATACTTAAATTGACTTCACGGAGAAAATCTCACCTGAATATCAAAATTCTCAATTTTGACTTGAGAAGAATATCGGTGTAAACAGGAATGACACTACTGAGCAAATCTTCATACGAGTAGTCAACAATGTCACTGCCAGGGAGAAAAAACACTTGTTTAGCGATGACCATCCCGCAAACTGCTTTGTTAGCCCAACTCGTATCTTACAGTGCAAGAACGTTGAATCATCAAGCAGCTAGTATATGAAAAATTCTTCCTTCCTATACAAGTTAATTTAAGTTATCTTTCAATCCGTCAAATTCAAGATGAGAACGTTTTATAAAATCTGAAATGCGGGACGGAGAGTCCAGAACGTAGAATAGAAATCTATCTTATTAAAAGTTGCACTACATACCTGCAGTCTGTCCATCGATATTTTAATCCGGTTACGTTAGCATGAAGTGCTTCCTGTACCTCTGGTCTGTTGAGATATACCTCCACCTGATATCCGAGTTTACAATGAGATCATCATGAAGAATGTGAAAATTCGGACAGCAGTGGCAGACCTAAAGTACTATAATCCAGGCCTGTAATGAAGGATCTATTCCCAAAATACTCCGAACCTCTTTGTCCTCAGAACCTGATTAATAGATACTAGATCCTGTCGAAACTGCAAGTGTCCACTTTTCGTCTTCAATGACTTTACTATAGCTGATGTCAATCGATAGCAGTTACCTCATTGTCGATACAGGGATCGTAGTTGGCTGATGTCTTCAGCGGGAGAGCACCCAGTGCTCCACGTCGCAAACGATTGAGCTGAACAGCAAGGAGACAAAACATATAAGTCGATGATGTCTACTTCTAAAAAGAAAAATGTAAAATTTTTCTCTTTAGGAATATGGAACTAATCTATGAGTTGAATTACTCCTTTCAAACTATTAATTGGGGATTTAACCACACATAATGAACCAGAGATGGGAGGCTACCTGCTTTGCAAAGTGCTTGGTCTCTGCTTGAGCTGATGCCCCAACACATACATCCACATATATTTCGTAAATGTTGATGTCACCCTGCATATAAGGCCAACAAAAAACTTCAAGACAGCTCCAGGGCATTTTTGAGTCAAAGTGGTTCATCTATATTCTCTGAACAAAGTCGTCTACTGCTGTGTCAAGCAATATCTCCTCTACCTTATAGAAATTTCAGATATATAACTGCAAATATTTGCGGTAGAGTTTAAGGCAGGTATTAATGAATGGAAGTCATAAACTAACATAAGTTCCTTCATCCCCACTCAGCGAGAGGAACGACAGGACACAGCTCTGTTAATACCATCTCTTTTGTTGAAAGATCAATATAATCATCGCACTGCAGTTCTGCTCGTGAGGATTTCAAACGACCTTGCTGGTATTCTCTGAGTGGTCCAGATGAGGAAAGATTGCACTGATAAACGGAGAGACATGTCAGAACAGAACCCATGAAAAGGCGTAAACATTCAGTAGTACCATCTCTTTCTCCGCAGCATCTATGAAAGCAACGCAAGCCTCATCATCTGTTCCGAGTTCATTTGATTCTTTCTTGTCAGGTCCGTAAACTGTAAAGTTGCACTGATATATACCACAGGAAATGGTCAGCACTTCGTAAATATGCAAACAGATACGTTCTTGTCTGTTGACACAAATAAATCAAGGTTGTCTTGCTACATAAAAAACAAGACTAATAATATAACTTGTGCCATTGTAACTTACAGTTTTCACCATCCCATAGAACGATGTGTCTGAGATCAGGGCATGCGTCCACCAGTAGAAAATAGCTCCGAAATTGTCGTGAGATGCATCAGTCCACGCATTTCCAACCTACAGGCATAGCAAATTCTTCATTGTAACCAAATCTTTCAATTCTAATAGTTCTTCAATTTGTGCAAGTTATTCGGTTAACGACCTAATACAACGCCCAGTCCTGGGTAATGCGTTTCAGGTCCTGAACATGCATTTACTAAAATGATAAGTGTTGAAAAGCTCTTGAGTAATTATTAACAACCTCTGACGATGACACCTGGTAAAGATCACTGAAACAAGAGTCTCACAACGATCAAGATCTCGTCACAGAGATCAACATTTGACGAGCACAAACGAGAGTCGGAGTTTCTCTACAGGGAAAGGTCTATGTTAATGTCAGAGTATCTAGCCCCTTGCCCTCATACCATGTCACCTGACCTGGAGATAATGCTTATATTAATTTGTAAATGACACCCAGAGACAGCATAAACTCCCCGTTAGAATGGTATTAATGGGTGGCATGGCCCCCTGTCTTCTGTAAGAATCAGTTGTAGGTAGGGAAAAACCACATCCAGTAAACATAATCCTCTTGATACCAGAATGACAAAGGCCAATCACAAAATTTGAGCTGATGGAGGTACATCACAGGAGCACTTACTGCTATTCCCTGGAAGTTGATTGCCGAATCTGTGTCCAATTTGAGGATAGTGGCAGCAAGTTGGGGGACATAGTGACCTGCCAGAAACCCACAGAAGAGAGGTTAGTTCCATGACGTTCTCATGACACATATGATCGTAAAAACTAGGTCAAACAGTAAAAGGAGAGTATCAGGATACAGCACAGCGGACCATTGTTCAGTGTTTGCTCAATCTGCTAGATGCGGTGGAGGTCGTAAACCAGGCGAGGACAGAAGCGATCTAGAAGCATGATGTAGGGTGTTCTTCGGCCCTAAAAATGAGTCGTATGAGTGCAATATACTCGATGGGCGTAATGCACCTTCACTGCATAAAACTGTAGCTGGTTAAGATTAAAAGCTATCTTACTCATATACACCACGTCTACATCTCACCTTGTGGGAAGGTATCAGCAATCAGAAACCTTACCTGCATAGCTTTCCCCCGCAATGTAGAAGGGAGCCTTTGCAAACTCCTCATACATCTTGAAGAATTTTACAAGAAACTCATAAGAGTCTAACGCTGTGACATCAAAAGACGCGGCATTAGCGGCAAGAAAACCAAACAACACCCAGAACACGAAGAAAACGCAAAACAACTGCCTCAGGGAGGCCATAAAATACACCTAGAGACGTCAGTCAACATCTAAGGCAGTAATGCACCTGGTATATAGAGATAGACGTACCTGTTCTTTCATCGCCAGTGATCAGATCTGCGGATGTGTTTGTGTAAGAAAATCCAACACCAGCAGGTGACTCCAGGAAAATTACGTTGGAAACTGCACGACAGTGCCAAACAACAATTCAACAATTTCACCTGAAGACGAAGTAAGTGACAACGAAAATGAAAAATCCTTCTATAAAATCCTATTACCTACAAAAATACTAAAAAAGATGAACTTTCGGCTACTCCCACTGTTCCAGTGAAAATTTTGAGTTGAATGGTTATACTGCATCGTGGTGATAGTGGGAGCACAGAAACCAGATCTTTGGCTCATTTAGTTAAACCTAACGGGTCTGACTCTTCATGCTATGATTTTTACGAAGGCTGACCATAGATTCCGAGGTTGAATTCTATAGTTACTCCTTGGAGGTCTAGGCCCTACCCAGGCCAAATTTATATAGGAGCAAATCCCAAGACTCCAGCAACAGCTTTTAATGGATTTTGAGAGCAAAATACCAATTTTCTCTCTGCAATTACACACGCGCTACAAGCAAAAAAAACTGAATTACAGAGGAAAGAAAATAGAAAACCCCGAATGCAGTGTAATCACGAATTCACCCACCTTTGTTCCAGCTGTATGGATTCGTCAATAGAGCTTTACCCTCCTTATCCGGATAGAATGGACCAAGCTCGCTGAGAGCTCCACCACCCACCGAAGAACAGCCGGGACCTGATTTGGATAATGTGCTACGATCAAAACACGACGCAATTGCAAAAAACACAACAACGATGCAATGTGCCTTGAGCACATGTCGATTCAAATAATCGATATCTTACCTCCTCAACAACACTCGACGAACATAGTCTAAACTACTCTCTACTAATAAGCGCGGAAAAGTAGGAAAACCCACATAGAGCTTCTGACTCAAACAATTCTCAATAATCCAGACCCATGGAAATGTGCATCACATTCAATCCTGATTGGATTGAATTGGATCTCGAGTGGCAACTTGTGGGTAACAGAGTCTCCGGTCACAGATAGGAATTGGAGAGGCTGATGACCAAACTCGTTCGAACAAGGATCACAAGAGACGAAACCAGCTGAAACAGAGGGTCCGTGGCCGAATTAGCCGAAACCTGCAGTGCAAGGAGCAGGCAAACAACATGCACAAGTGAGAACAACGCACCTCCATTCAACCAGAGGGTTACAGGAGCGGTGGTGGGATCGGCAACTTCAGCCTCAACGAACCAGTAGAAAAGAGCGCGTCCGGCGGCTTCATCCACAGTCACGTAGCCGGAGTGCATAGCAAAAGGCACCGGAGGAGCGCCAGGAAGCTCCTGAATCAAGTGATCATTGAATTTTCTGTATCTGTTGGTAACTTGGCGAATCAAAGGCCTGTCCGCGGCAACGATGGCGACCAAGCAGATCAAGCTCAGGCCGACGATCGACCGCAGCGAAGAGTCCATTTCTTCCCACTTCTCAACCTCTCTCTGCACCTCCCAATCACGCCACGCCCACGGGCCAAAATCACGAAACGAGTGTCAAAAAAACCTCAATTATTTCATAGACCGTAAGAACATGCCATCGCCCTACGACGACACGAGCATTGCTCGGGGTTATCTGCTCCGAGGCAGCGAGATTCTTCGTGTCAAACTCCCCACACTCCAAGCGTGTTCATCACGCAGGCGTCCATGGATCGAAGGATCTGCGTCGCTCCCAGTTTTATGTCGCCTGCGGTCCGAACCGACCGCGACGAGTGGGGCAGAGGCTCTGCCCGCCGGGCCTTCCTCGCTGGTCCCTCCCTCCCTCCGCCAGTTGCTCGCTCCTATACGCCAATCGTGGTGTTGCTGGTGCAGGCCCGTTTGGCTCCGGCCATCGCAGAGTCCCACACACCACTCCCTCCGCTCCCTCCCAATGGACTCCCCCCTCCCCTCCTGCGCTTTTCGGGCTTCCTTCCGTAAAGAGCACAGAGTCCTCCCTTTTGCCTTCCTCTTGGCTCTCCGTTCCTCTCATTCGATGCCTTTTGCATTTTTTTAATGTAAAAGCCCTCGAATGAGATTAGTCTAATAAGTCCCACATAACAAGATCCGCCCTCGTCCTTTCGATTCGACCATCTCAGCATGCTGCTCGCATAACTGTTTTTATGAACGAATTAGCCAATTGGAAAGTGTGCACCAATCACGTGTGTATTTTACTAGAAAATATAGAGTGTAGTGTCTACTTAAAGTAGGGATGTCTCAAAAGGTTGTTTGAACGTTGGGCATGATTAATTGGTTTTTTATCTTTTTTACACATTGAAAGCCAGAGACATTCCAAAGGGTCTATGATCTGTCAGTGGTTGAAAAAATTGACAAAATGGCATTCATGTGTGTATATTGTATATTATACCACCAAATCTGATGTCCGAAAATCTGGGAGGGTATTAGACAGATAACGGTTCTCTAGCCGCAAACTTTGGAGGTGCGTATCTTTATCAAATATACTAAATATGGATCTAGTTTAGTATATGTGCAGACCATCTTTATTCTTTAGCTTACTTTCGGGCCAAAATTAATTGAAATAATGGGTAGGGGTTTCGATTCTAATTCTAACATATGGAACCTGTATATGTATAATCAATTGACACAACTCGCGTAGATGGAAGCAAGCCTAAAAGTCCTTATGCTTACTTCCATTCCTCAAGAAAAGAAGGACTTAACGAGTCACCTATAGATCTGAATGGGTTTTCTATAATAGAAAAGGAAGCTACTTTATCTGAAAAATATGAACAAGTTATCAAGGTAGAGTATGAGAATCCAACTTTGGGCTTTGCTTTTTACAAATTCGGATTAAAAAATTGACTCAAAAAATCGGCACTTTAAAGGCTTAATCTCAATGTGCTATTGGAATTATATACTTCAGGTTAAAAAGACAAACTGAATTAAATGGAAAATTTTATTTTACAGTTCAACCAAATTTAAATATCTAAATCAGTTATTCTTTCCTCTCTTTTTTAAGCACAACATGTAATTATGGATTTGAAATGAATATATAAGTTCTTGCATTTGAAATCTGTAATGAAAATATTCTTAAACTCTAGTGATTTAAAAATTAGGTAAGTTATTTAAATCACTATTATAATTTATTTTGCCAAGATTATCAGATTTTACTGCAGAAATTTTTGTTTTCACACAAGTGAAAATAGCTTTGCTTGAAATTAACTTTCTTAAAATTTTACTGTTTTAGTGAAAATTGATGGCTTTTGAAAGAAAAATATTAAATGATTCAAATATATGTCTGCTTAAAAAATTACTTATCTCTAAATATATGTATAAAGCTCTTCCTCTCATTAAACACAATTATTATGCATATTGATTTGTTGCAAATACTAATAAAGTAATCAAATTTTTATTGTTTCATGTATGGCATGAGAAATTAATTTACAATCCGGTAAATAGACACAAATATAGTCTAGTATCGATATAAAAAACATCAAAGTCTACTTCTTGCTCTACACAATGTAGTAATAACAAGCTTTAATGTTATATTCATGCACTTTTTTCGATCCTTTATCTGTTATTTAAATAAGTTATATTCTCGATTTTCATAAGCTCATCTATCTTTTATGACACTCCATTTTTGCACGAAATCAAAAACAATAGAAATGACCGGGTACCCACACACCAAAAAAAGTCTAAGGAAATTATTTTTGTACATTCGGTATTATTTTTCAAAATAAATTTCAGAAATGTAAACCTTTCGACCTCATCATATTTTCCACTTCCAAATAACATAACTCCATGATTACGTAACTTGCTCGCAGGTCTTGTGCACCTTGCATATTATGGTGCCTCAATTTCTTCCACTCTAGAGGAAAACTCCGACATTAGCAAATGCCAAGAGATAGACCTGAATCTGTAGACCCCGCTGATTTGGCACATCCCCCAAACTTGGACCGTGAATCCGAGAGGGCAACGTTCGGTACGATGAGACGGTCGGATATCAAGGCGTAGTGCATACGTCTCCGTTATCGTCGGCGAGGTCACAATCTGCTGCCTCCCTCAATAATGCAACTTGCCCTCAAGTCTCAAGAGTCAGGGTCAGGGTCAAATCAGGGTCAGCGAGGTCAGTCCCTCGTGAGTTCTGGAGCAGCTCATGCACTTCTGCGGAGTCTGCACGTCTCCAACCGACTAAACATTTAGCTGCTTTACCGGAGACCACTTGCCGAAGGATGATGTTTGGATGACTCGAGACGAGTAGATTGATTTTGATTACAGCACAAGTTATTAGGACAGCCCAAATTGCTCACTTTGCTTTGATTGGAGTTGATCTCGTGAACAGATGCTGAATCAAAGGCTTCTGATTTGACGGCAAGGCGAGAGTTAATTGGAAGACATTTAGTTTCCTCTCCGACATAACTTGCCGTGGCCATCCAAAGATTTGGCATCACTTAATGTGGATAAGAATAGATGTAGAGTGGATGGTATCAACACCGAACGTCAAGACTACGGCAGGCTCGTGTTGTTGACAAGTGTTGGGTTTGCAAAACGATCGACGCCCCAACTTCGGGTCGGTCCTCCTCTTCGGTTGCTTCAAGGGTTGTTTCAGGCGAGCAGTGAGATTGATCGCCTGTCTTTGAGAAGCCCAAATCTAACTGGATAGACTATCACCAGGAACTTCGCGTTTCCAGATCAGAGATCCCGGATCCACGCTTGTCGCTTTCAACACCCGAATTTCACTTGGAGTGCACATTCAAGTGCTATATCCTCTCCCGGACTCATCCATCACGCATCGCATCCATGGGAGATTACTTTGTATAAGTTTATTGTAGATACCGTACGATGTATAATCTTTCCATTGCCACCTTTGCCTTCGTGGACTGACGTTCTCAACCTCCACTTGTCAACAGATTGTCATGCTTCATTTCTCTCATCATTACAACATATCACACCATTTCTATAAGAAATTTCGGACACTTGGCTTGCACTCCGGGACCGACGAAAGGTCTCGGAAAGATAGATCGCAAGCTGAATTCACCACGTTATGTCTTCGTTGTAGCATGAATAAAAGATGGTTGATTTCAAGATTAGCTCGCAAAAGTGCTCTCACTCTCTTTATCGAAACATAATGTCACCGATTGGGAACTGGAAGAACTTTTGAGTGTGTGATGTGTATATGTGTGCGCAAGATGGCCGGTGGGAGATAAATCCCGTTCAGATGCTCTGACAAACATGATGATCTTCTGGAATCCGCGTCCTTTCTGCATTCACACGAAGAGGGAAGGGAATCGTTGCTTTGACCAGCCGTCCAGTCACTGTGCTTCACACAACTGATCCTGAATGCGCAATCATGCTCTGGAATCTGGGACGACGAGGTCTGTTCTTCGACTTCACCAATTCCATGCATGAGCACTTCACGCGCCATTCCTTTCTTGCTCTTGGTAAACGCACATTTTATGAGTGTCGAACTCATAAAATGTGCGTTCAGAGAGCTCATTTTCTTTTCTCCCTTCTGAGGCACTTTGCCGGAACTTCAAAGGTTGGAACTAACTTGTAGACAGCGTCCCCAGTCAGTTTTTTTCTTCTGAAGGAAGGTTTATCTTTCGTGGAAGGAAAATCCACATGTGAGTGTATAGGCGTGTAAAAAAGCCAACATTCACAAATTCGTTATGAGAGAGAGTATGTATATATCAAACACAAGCATGTTCAAGATATATATATATATATATATATATATATATATATATATAAAGTTAAATTACAATTGTTCATGTAAATTATCACTATTTAGTTCTTAGCACCTAGGATCATTTTTGTTGCATGTATGGTGGATCATACCAAAAGATTTTGGATTTTTTTGTTATCTTTCTTTGGTCATTGACGGATAACAGTATATCACTTGGGGTAACATCGAATGCCATAACACATGATCCACAAGATACAGCACACAGTAACATATTTGATTATCACAGGACATAAACCAAACACCATTCTTCCAATTTACTTATGACTTGACTAACTTGCTGGTAACGACGGCAGTTCATGTGTATTTTATCAGAATTTCAATAAGTATCATCGGATTATGCTGCTTGTGCCAATTATTTTCTTCATAGATACCTTCAAAGTATGTAGTTCAAAACTATGATTTTTGTACAAGACTACATTTTGATTATGTGAAGAGTGATTACGAATTGTTGTGAATGTTCAACTTGCTAATAGTGATACAGCTGTCGCATGTCACACCCATATGACTATCAATAAATATAAATAAGAAACATTTAACCAGATACGATAATTCTTCAAGCTCTAGCCTTGCAAATACCTTGATTCAAAAATCTGACCAAGGGTTATGATGGTAAATTTCTTTTTTGACGACCAGAAATTGACATAACATAAGTTTATCTCATCACATGTCAGAAACTTTAAACACTTTGCTTTTTACATCATAATTTAGGTAGCGGCATCTGTGATTGCGTATAAGCATGCAAGCACAACAATTGAACCCACAAAGATGAAAGCCTCTAGTCAAATCAAGGGAATTTGCAAAGTACATGATCCTAACTCCGATACTGCAATTAGGACACGTGCAGCTTATAGATAGAGGTTGAATTTAGGGTTTCTTGAGGGATAGTTTTTGAAACCAAAATTGTAAAATCAGAATGTTGCTAGGATGGAAGATAAATTTATGCAAGAATATAAAGTTTTTGAATTGTAATGTGGATGTAGAAAAATCTCCATCAATTCATTATTTTATTTCATTTATATCTTTACCAATTTTTTAAAAATGAAGATATCAGTTTTATACATTAATGTAAAAAAATCCTTGTATTGTGAAGAAACATGTATGCACATGCTACTAGATGAACACAGTATACTATTAGAGCA